CCTTGCCCTTTCTGTAAAGTTCCCAGCTTCCACGTCACTCGGGATGGGACACTTGTCCACTGGACTTGAATTATCCGTTGTGTATATTAATGGTAGTTACATTTCCTCTGCTGTGTCCTCTGGTTCCTTCTATATGCTCTTTGTTGTTTGCACATCAATGGGGCAGTCCTGTGCTGCATCATATGACCAACTGCCACCAGCTTTGTACAATCTCTCATCTTTTTCCTATTTCAGCCGTCAAACTCTAAAACATATTCTCTACCCTATTTTTGGAATAGATGCTGTCATTTTCTGTACATTTATGTCATGCCTAATACAGAATGGTTCTGGTCTCTGACATATGCCTCATTAATTTTAGTCTCAGTCAGTGATTATTTTGGGGGGCGGGTGTTTTTTTACACTGTGTGTATAGTGGATTTTCTCTCCTACTACCCTGGTAAATTTTTATTAAGAGTTTATTATTATATTAACATAATTTACCCCAGTAAATTATTATCAGAGTGCAGATTCCCATTAATTCCATTTCTTGTTAAAAAGTCACAAGATGCACCTCCCTCGTTTGGTCTGATCTGACCCTCTGCACTTAACATAAATGAAAACATACTGGTGTGCACACTTGCGTGCACATGGTGGTCATGTGTGCTCACACAACTCCTCGCTTTGCTCTGACCCCATTCAAGATGGACGTGCCAGATGCAGTAGAGCTGGAGGCACTCCCATCTCTTGCAAGCTCTTAAGTTCTCTTCTCACCAGCCAGAATATTTCAGAAGTATTTTCAGAAATGCAGGTGCATGCAGTTGTCAGGAGCAGCTTGCTTGGAGTTAAATTGCTGTTTCACCTGACAGCAGGCATGCTCTCTCAGGGGCAATTATCTCTGTAGTAATTAATGAGGGAGTTTCCTCTGATGCCTCAGCGTGATTCATACAGGTTCCAAAAGATTAGTTTGTTAGTTACCGAATAGAATATTTGCAGATGTATTTTGCTGTGATAACATCTCTGACTGGAGATGACTCGTTAGGGATGCAGGAACAAAGATCTGCAAGGCCAAAATGTGACTGCATGACTCAATTTTAGGCTCCTCCAGCAGCTAGCACGACCCCAGAGTCAGCAATGGGAACTTTGTTCCTGGCTTTAACTTGCAGTGAAGTTCTGTGGTCAGGGCTGGGCAGAGGAAGAAGTCCTTTTCTTCTCCTCACTGCTGCTTGTTTACAGTAGCAGGGAAGGAGGGACACCAGTAACTTGCTCTCCATAAGAGCTGGAGTGCTTTTCTTGGTGGGCAGGGTGTGAAGATACCTTGGCTTGCTAGCTTCCTTTCCTGAAATAGAGTATAGACAGCAAAAGTGGGCCAAGTGATACCAAACACTTAGTCCAACAAAGTTTGCGCTTTCTTAGTATCTTGTGTCATGGGTTAAAGGTGAGCTTGGGACAGCCAACTTTAGCCTCATAAGAAACCAGATCCTATTAGCTTCCATGTTTTTTTTCTTTTCTGAAGTGTCTGTATAAGACATTTTTTAATAATGAGACCCTGTTATTAAACACTGGGTTGCATTGCAAACACGCAGCAGTTCTACATTTTGCAAGTACCCAAGACATGGGATATACAACCTAACTCCTTTGTATGGAATACTAATACTAATCAACTTTGATTAGTTTTAACCTTAAACATGCTACTCCTGACTTGCCCCAAAATTAGCTGTAGGAAAGTCAGAGCTGCAACTCATGAACGAAACTGGAATGAATTTGAGACTATACACTTGGCAGTGTAAATTGTGAAGAGTAAGGTAATTGGGTTTTAGAAGTAATTTAAATTAGTGTCGTCTTCTGATGGTGTCTGTAGCAGGAAAATGCTTGAAGATTCGTTACCTAATAATTCATAGTGAATATGTGCTGTTCGTGACTTAGCAGAGGATGTGAGTAGGGACTGACCCTGTCCATGTGCACTGGGTTTAGCCATAGCCAGCACTGGAACTGAAAACAGTAACGCACAGAGGGAAATATGATTTAACTTTGGGAACCTTTGACCTTCTTCAAAATGTGTGGAGTGATCAAGGTTTTAGCAGTAGAGGGGACAGCTTTGTCTTCTCGGGGCCTTGTGTAAAAACTGCTTGGGAATTAATCCATTGCTTTGTTTTAGCATCCTTTACATTGACAGAAGATGTTAGGAACAAGCATATTACCAAAAGCTCCTTCTGTGGCAAAAGACCTTCAGTTAGGAAATACAAGACAAAGAAAAAATAAAAATAATATTCATTAATCATACATTATTATATCATATGTAAAGTAATCAGGTTAGAGTTGTCTTAAGTTTTGCTGGCCAAATTAACAGAGTGTCTATCAGAACCACTTGTTTCAAGGATACAAAAATGAGACCACTTTCCTTTACCTATGTTCAGTGGTTTACAGAAAAGAAAATTTTGCACCAAAATTAGCCTGAAATTTGAAAAATTCATTAGTGCTTGAAGTGGGTCATGAAATGAGCAATGTAATTCCTCCACATTACTCTTAATGCCATATTTGTGTTTGTGGATGTGTTGGCCTTGGTTGATGATAGGTTCTGCTTTTGTAATTTAATTTCATTTCTTTCTTATTATAGGCATGCAGCTTGCAAATGTAGTAATAAATTTCTGTAAATATTACTTTGGGAGACATCTGTTCCTTAAGGAAGCCTTAGAACCAGTGTTTGTGTTATTTATAAAATATGCCCAATGTAAAAAGATATTCTGGAAGATATTCTGCAAGGCTTGGTATGTGATGGCATACAGGGACATTACGATCCTTCAGGTCAGGCAAATCTAAATGAGTACTTGGAAAGAAATGTGACAAACTTCCATCTTTTTAGGGGCTTATCTGGGCGCAGGTGCAGTGGCACAATGGCAAGTGTTCCCTGTTGCCCTGATAGCTAAAGGGCAAGGTAAAGTAAGTTTGCAGCATGTTCACAGAAGGAACCATATTGTTTATACATGAAGGGAGTTTCTCTGTGTGTGTATCTTTCTTTATCCTTGGATCTCTGTGCTAGACAGCAACGTCCTGTGTCAGTATGAGCAAGCTGCCTAGATGCACAAAATTCAGCGGAGGAGTTGTGGTTTATGTCAGTTAAGGGTTTTCTCCTGTAAGGAAGAGTAGCCTTAGACAGGAAGAGATGTGTCATTTGACTGAGATGTTTCTTATTTGCTTTGTTTTGGCCATTAGATCAGCTGCACTGTTTGTACTTCAAAGGCTATAAACCGTTATATAAACACATTGTGTGGTGTATCCATCCTGAGCTTACTTAAATCTGTGACAAACCACAACAAACATCCAGGGAAGAGGTGATCAGAGGCATGCAATGCCTGCAGCCCTTGCAGTGGTGGAGGATGGATGAAGTGAGATAGGTCTGAATGCTGCCAGTGGACAAACCATTCCACAGAAAGCAGAGCGGTGAAAATCCTCGATTTCACCCTAGAAACTCCTATTCAACCCTGTATTTGGCAAATCGCAGGAGAGGCATCTGGGGATATTCTTCCGTGCATCCATCCCTGATTCAGCCTTGTGCAGTCTCCCTTCTCCTGACATGGCCCTTCCCAAGTGTTCAGATGCTGGAGAAACAACAAAAACACAGACAAGAATACATCTATCCCCACTTGTAAAAGCACTCCTTCCTGACCTCTCGGATTAGCTGGCTGTGTAGTATCCCTGAAGCAGACAATTTGACTGTTGGGGTTTTTGCTGCAAAGCTGCATCAAAGCTGCAAGAGGTTCCCAGAGGGCAATGCAAAGCTGCTCTTTTTCCTCGTGTTCCATACAGAGAAGACATGAGTAAGGTAACTTACCTTTATTCCAAGATCGGAAGGGACCCCATGACGGTATTCTTTTATCTTCTGCAATTTTCCCTAGACAGTGCATTAAACTATATATTAATTGTTATGATGTATATTATAAAAATGGATATTATAAAAGATAGCTATTCCACAATTTTGAAGTCCAAGAATCTCTATTTAAGAACTATTTTAGCTGTTTGGATGTGGTCCTGGGCAACTGGTCCTGCTTGAGCCTGAGGGTTGGACAAGATGACTTCCAGGGTTCCCTTCCAACCTCAACCATTGCTGTGATTCTGGGAATTCCATGCTAGTCTCTACCTCCTCTGATAAACTGTCCTCATAGTTAGTTCCCTGCTGTTTAGTTCTGTATTATTCAGATAGTCTGATTTCACGGCTACAATAGAGAATTCTGAGCTTTTGGTTTGTTTGGGATTTGATAAAGTGTTGTATTTTGTTTATATTTGAGTAGTGCCTTTTTTCAACTTAATGTTACCAAAGATGGAAGGTGGTTAAGCCCCCAGTTTGATTTCCCAGCACTTTTGCGTTTTGCATTATCTTTTTATTGTGCACTGTTGTAAAGTCAGTGGGACATTACACATGCATGAGTTAAGCAGGTCAGTATGTGCTTTTCTGGATTAGGACCCAAAAGTTTGGAATTCATACAAATGATCCCTTATTTATATTTTGCTAAACCTAAAGGGTAGGAAAATAGGATGGAAAGGATTATAATTTTCTGCTGATTCAAAAAATGTTGTTTAGCAAGAGTGCTATTCCTTTCAACTGCAAAATCAGAAGAAAGGTAACTCCATAAGAGGGCATAGTGAGATGACTATGCAATAAGCTCAGATATGTTAATTTGGGTTTGTGTGTAGAACAAATGATGCCAGCATAAGCAAACCTCACTTAATTCTTAGCAATTACCTGTGATTTATGACAGAATTACCATGATGTAGCTCTTGGAAGAATCTTAATCAAACTGAACTGGAGTGACATGTCATACAAGAACAAAGATGTCTGTGAGAGAGAGAGGTAGAGAGGAGTATAATTTTATTCTCTGCCTTTGAAGGTGAACATTTTTAATGACATTTCTTGTAAACAATATGAGATTTGAAGGAAGTAGCAGTGGCCTAGTCTTAGGAAAAATAAATTAAGTCTTAAGTTCCATCATCCATTCAAATAAAACTTGAATTGTTTCTTTTATAAGGGATCTTGGAACAACGTTGTCCCATCTCCACATCCTGTGGATGGCTCACTGTGGGCTCTCAGATTTAGATGGGATCTCTTCCTGCAGCTCTCTGAAAGTAAGTATAGATGTGTCCTGCCAAATTACGATCTCAAAACTATTTTCAGTTGATACTCTTTACTTGTCATCTTTGTTCTCTTCTCACCTTTTGTTTTTCGAAAGGACTTTGGTTGGATGCCTTGAATTGCCTGCATTAGTTTAAAAGACACTACAATATTTTTTTTTAAATGAGGTGTAACATTCAGGTCTGATCCTGAAGATGCCTAATGCAGCATAGTGTTCATTGCCATATTAGACCTAGTTATTTAAGGCGGCAACAGCCACACTTGAAAAATTTTCTCTTCCATGCTAATTTCATCTTAAGCCATGTAATATTTCAAATATTAGAAAACATTTTGCAAAGCTTGAGTGTTACTTGTGCAAGCCTGTCATTTACATATTTATTCTGTTTACTTCTGCTGAGGAACTCTACATAGCTTATAACAATATCTCTGACCTGAGCCAGCTGACCTGGTTGGATCACCTTGAGGTTTTGGACCTGGAAGGGAACAATATTGAGGACATCAACCAGATGGAGTACCTGGGACTTTGTTGCAAGCTGAGCCGCCTGACAGTGGAGGGCAACCTTATTTGTCTGAAGCCAAATGCAGAATCTGCAGAGGTGAAGACTTGGTTTACACATATTGTGTTAATTTTTGGCAATGCTTTTTTAGTTTGAGTTGGAAAAGAGAAATATTTCTCCATCTTCCTATTGTATCATTCTGAGTGATGACACGGGATGCATTTCCCATCTTTCATGTCCTCTCGTGGGTACTGTCTCCAAGATGCGCACAAATGAAATACAAGGAGTGCTAGTAAAGACTCAGGCCTGTTTCCTAGCAATGTGTTCCTTCTTACCTGTGAGAAGGGCTTAAACTAGAAATCAGCTGTTCTGATCCGTACAGCTGTTCTGTCTTCTCCCAGCTTGCAGTGCAAACAGGCGTCTTAAAGGAAGACTCAAGAAGAGCATGGACCCCAGCTGTATGGATCCTTCCACCTGTAGGGATCTTGCAGCAGGTTAGAAAGCAGTCAATATATTTCTCACAAGATATGCCAATTGTAATGTCTCAATTAGATATCTGTCTCTGGGCTTTTCCATTTCTTTTGGAGGCTCTCCAGTCCAACAGCAAGTGCTCCAAGACCACCATGCTCAAAAGGTGAACCCTCAGAAAAATAATGCTTGAGGTAACTGGGAAAAGCTATCTTGTAGAAACTGCGTGTTGTCCTTTCCCCTGAAAGCAAAAGCTGAAGATACAAAATACAGTGATTCACCTCTTATGTACTGAAATGATGAAATCATTTCTGTGGAGGTATTTTGTTGAGAGCATGAGATCGTTTGTGTCACCAAGATGAAAACACAGTAATGCATTGTCTGCTTTGGGTTTCAGGGCAACAAGAAAAGTAAGGGAGATCTAATTCTATATGAACGGTCTAGGAGCTGTATTACTCTTTCACTTTTCCCTGTTTCAAAAAAACCCAATGTTGGGATATAAAAATAAGCATCTTGGCACGTACTGAGAAGGTAACTGCAGGAAAATCAGAGTTTTAAAAACTTGGTTAAATAAGACTGTTCCTCATTTTGGTCATACAATGTCTAACACACATCATCAGATGACAGTTTATGGCCAGCATACGCTATATTGTCATCCAGGTCTTTTGGAAGGTCACAGGCATACACACATAGGTATGTAATACACAGCACTCACTAAGGATGGCGCAATCACCAATGGAACCATAAAGAACTGGTAACACAGGGGTTAGAAAGCAGAGTGGGAGTTGGTGCTGTGACTCCACTGTGCCATGTTCCATAGCTTTGCTGTGTGTTTCAAAGTGAGCATGCCCATGCCATTAATTGGCATAAAAGGTTGGGGTTTATATTTGTCCTGGATTTAGACTTGAAAACTGAGGCGCTATCACTAAAACACAATCACGTACTAGACATGTGCGTATTTTAAATCTTCACACTTTTTAGATACATGAGTTATTAGCATTTTTCAGATGTAATTTTTGGCTTGATCTTATCTTTCAGTAAAAGGAGCCACAGAAGGTAGTGCTTTAGCTATCATAATTTTCCTCTCTGGAATCCAAAAGAAAATATTATATACTTGCCTTTCTGTTTTGAACTGGTAGAAGTATACTTCAGAGGCCACACTTGTAAATATTTGTAACCAAAATGATTTCTCCGTCAACATTTCTCCCTTATGGAAGATGCAGTCATGAGAGGAAAAAACACATTCCTACAGTAAGGAAGCACTGCTTGCTTCTGGTGGACAAAGCATGCCTACTTACTCTTTTTACTCCCAGGGAGACAAATACAACCTCTGAGACTTCCTTATCATAGCTTCCTACCACGAAAATGGTGTAGTATATCCTAACAGCACAGAAAGTCTGTTTCTACTACCTTGTCATTCCTGC